CCAACACTATCCCTAGATACCCCGTTGCCGCCTATACCAACCACCACCACCTCAAATCCATTACTGTCAACGCCGTCGCCACAGTGACCACCACGACCACTATCTACACTCCACCACCGTCAACCACAACTAGCTACACCAAACATCTACACCATTTTTACCACTGTTACCTCGACTGTACCACTACTCCATCTCTACCACCTCGAACACTATCGCCTGCACCACCATAACCATCCAAATAAATGGACACACTTCTCCCAACGCACACCACCACCACCTCGCACTGTACACATAACTGCTATCAAACACTACCGCCAGAGCCACCCCATCAACTCACCACAACCGGTCAACACCACTACACACTACACATCGACCAGAGCAAACACTACCACACATAGCATCATACCCTACCATTGGTCAACGCCACTACACAACCACCACTGCACATCATCATCGCACCCAACCAAACCACCGCACACAGCACCACCAAACCCAACCATCACTACACCGTACCATCGCACCCAACCACCGCACACTGCATCGTATACCTCCACGATCACAGCAATCGCAAAACCAACACACCATCACTGCACCATAGAATCACCACCAAGCCGTCTATCACAAAACCACTCAAAAATTAAAAATAAAATAAAAGAAGAACGGATCTTCTCTTTCGACGGCGCTCATCTTTCAGCGGTATGATAGAGCTCACAGTTAGCAGCAGCGCTGGTCCTCCCCTTACACCATCGACATTGGTCTTTTGTAGTAGTACTAGTCTTACAATCGGTGGAAAGAATACGTAGTAGGTGGAGAGATGAGATGGGAGCTGACTGTCGTGTGAGAGAGAAAGAGATGGGCATTGAGAAATATAGAGAGAGAAATGAGAGGAGAGAGAAATTTTGGTTTGTGATGAGTTTTGGTTGTATTAATAATTGTTACTCATAAGATAAATTAAAGACCACACGTTGCATTGATTAAACTACGTGGCGACAATCTGGGGGGCCCACGCCAGTCTGGGGGCCCTACGCTTTACACACTGACATGGATGACCCTTATATATATAGGCGACCCATTCTCCCCATAGAACGAAACTGGACCGACCCCATTTAGGCAGACACCCCGTGTAGGAACCGATCCTGGCGAGGCAATTGCAAGATCCTTAACAGATCTTGTGTTGAAATGATTGACAAGACAATTCACTGCCAACGCCGCCTCTACAAACCTATACTGTCAAATCCCAATTGCCAAGCTAGGACTTATGGATACGAAAGGGCCCCTAGCATTTAATGCATTGATTGATTGATGTGTGCGACAAGAAATGTCAATCGGTCTGATGAGGCCACGTGCCCTCTCATCGGCGGGCCTCGTTTATCTTACTCAAGTATAAAAACTCATACTTAGTACCATTCGAGGCTAATGCAAGTTAAGACTTTCAAAGCTATAATCTTGCTACATACATTTTTCATTATCTATTCCCAAGCCGACCCCATTTTTATTGATTGGAGGCTCATGTTCAAAACTCTCACACACCCTAAATTATCACCCCAACTGACTTGACCGTTGGAGTACGCACGGCTAACTTCATTTCCCCCGAAGAAGTCCACGTGTGATTAACGATTTGTCTCAGTGTGCACGAATCCAGCTTGCGTGGACATGAGAGGCTTTGAGATCTGTTAGCCACATCATATGTACATTTTTTGGGGTCAACATTAATATTAAATATTTGAATTAAAATCTGATTTTTGTATATACTTTATGTCTGATTTTTGAAATTGAGTCTTAAAAATTCTGGTTTGACGTAAGGGAAAAATTCACAATTAAGGCATTAATTATACACAATTCAAAAATCAGGTTTTAAGTTTAATTAATACAAAAATCAGGTATTTATTAATTAATTAATTATATTTTATTAATTAAATATAATAAAATCACGATTATATAATTAATGGTCACATGTATATAATCATATGTTACAACTTATTTATTGATCAC